AGTTGCACAGTGCTTGGTGGATGGTATGATAGGGTGAAATTTAGGAAAAAAATAGTTTACATGATCACAGCTATGCAAATTACACTAGCTAAATATTGTCCCATCTCCAGACACAAAAACAAATACCTCAGATAGTGTCTGATAGTGCGACTGAGCTTTTTTGGTAAGAAAGCTCTGGATACAATTCTTGCAAAGTGAAATTACACAGACTGACTGGACTCCAAAAGATGAACCATGAGCATTTGCATAGCCTTTGTTGTGGCTGGAGAAGTATTTCAGAGGGCCAGTCTGATATGTTTTCTTGCCACAGTCTTTTCTTCAAGGCCTGACTCTCCCTTGCCTTGCATTCTTGGTAATCATTCATACCTGTGCAAACTGGATATAAAGTGCATTCATACTGAAACAGAGTGAAGAATTGTGATCCTAAATTCTTAAGAATAGTCAGGATTTTTTCCTTTTGAATCCATTTAACATTGTTACCATATACTTGCAGTTTGGTAAAGAACTGCATCTGTTTAACTCGAGCCTTGATCTGGCATCCGTGCCGTCTGCCTTTGAAGCACTGAGACTAGATTCCTGCAATGCAGCATATGCTTAACTGCCTGGGAACTTCTTGTGGCCAGTGCTGAACGCTGTGATTTATTGTCATGGAAAGTAGCACAGATGGAAGCAGCAGCTTAGTATGGAGCATAAAGTAGGATCCAGATCCAGCATGATTAACCTCAAGAGGTCTCCTGAGGACCACTGAGGCAATCTGATTTGGGAATCTCTCCCCACTGACTCAATAGTAAATGCCTGTACCTTCCTGTGAAAGTGTTTAAACCACCTTGGTGCTGTTCAAAGGCTGGCCATGGCCATGCAGTCTGATGGAGCTAACAACTGGTCCCACCACAACTAACCTGTCAGGCTCTTCCGGGATGATTCTACCTCTCAATTCGGGTCACCAGTTAGCTATATTAATTTCCCCAGATCACTGTTTCTGAACCTGCACATCTAAGAAGAATTGAGGCTACAAGGTATCCAGCAGTTTTTCAGAGAAGTGTGAAACCTGTCCACGAGGCAGTGCAGGAAAATAGGTTGTTGGAGACTTGCATAGTCCCATATAGCCAGGATGACAGGACATATCTGATCAGAAACTTCAGATGGTGTGTTGGTTATGAAGTGATCTTATTACTGAACTTCTGACAACTTTACAAGGTATTTACTCTCTCTCTCTCTTAAGTCAGAGAGTGCATGTTCCGATAAAGAACTTTTCTTTAAAGAAAAGTGGTTCTTACCCAAATTGTTGTTTAATTGTTTAAAATAAAAAATGTCATTTCTATGATCTAGTAATTAATTCTGGGGCATAAGCCAGTAGCAAAATGTGCATGAATGCTATGTGCCATGGTTGTTAAAATGTAAATCAGTCTTTTATTTTGATTGAATGATCTTGCTTACATGCTTGAGAAAGAAGAGTCCAAAATAGAAGACACCAATTTGAAATAATGGTTGGGGTTTTTTAATAAGAATGCATGAAGAAATGTGTTAGTGTATTCACCGTGGTCACTATAGTATAATGAGGATCCTTATAAGAATATGCTGTATTTAAAAATGGAAAAGGTAGAAAGGGGGACGGGAGACTTCAGCAGTATCAGCATACATGGGAAAATATTGCAATGTTGTTAAATTTTGTAGTATATAGGATACCATTAGAGCAGCAAACATAGACTTCCAGATGTTTGTGAAGAGTCCAACAGTTATATTTTATATCTATGGCTGTAGAAACAATTTCTATTCAGCAGCCTGGAAAAACATTTCATGTCACAACATGAAAGAAATATTACTGTGGGTTTTTTTTTCTCCCTCATCCCCTATATAGCAATTCTGAATACTTCAGTCAATGCCAAACAAAAATGATGGTTTAAAAATTAAAACTACAGTCACTAGGGGCAGGATATAAATGTGCAGATGTTTTGTGATGTTGAAGAACTTTTCAGGCAACAGTCAATGCTGTTGTGGAAGGGACTGGAAATCCATCACAGTCAGACACTGTCAAAAGCATTCCCTAACCTACACTGTCAGAAAAAGCAGTTACCTTTTCATAGTCCCTTAAGAAAAAAAAAAAAGAAGAAGAAGAAGAAACTCAAAACCAGAAAGCCCACTCACAATAGCCTTTATATAGCTCTCACTATTTTATTAGCAAGGGTTTGACTGTAATCTGTTAATATAAGGGAGCAACTTAAGTCTAGGGTTTACCGGGCAACATGTACAAGTGGAAAACTGTATTGTCCCAAAGCAGTGCACAAAACATCAATTTTCTTTCTCCAGGAAGGAAAATTTTTACCAGCTTATAAGCTGTTTCTGTTTCAGGAACCTCTGTGCCTCAATGCTGTTACACAAATGGCTGCCTGAAAATCTTGTGTTTACCACACCTATCTGGCTAGACAAAGAGACATCATGAATAACAACAAAAATAGCAGAGGGAATGTTTTTAAAGGTATTCCTAGTAATCACTGCATTTAATGCCTGTACATGATGACAGACCTCTTGCCTCCCAAGAGCTGGCAGGCACTTCTGCAAACACACGTGTAGCACCTAGCCATCCTGACAGAGGATGAGACTTTACTGTTGCTTCTCTCTATGGCTTGATGGTTACAAGGGTGGAAATACAGGTCAGGTATAAATGGATGACAGCTCCTCCGTCTCCTGTTTATTTTACCTGCTTTAATTAGTGAGGTGAGATCGCAGGTGAGGTTTTCTGCACTGCCTGGCCCCACTGAGCCTTGAAGGGTGCAGAAACCTCTCCAACAGCAGCACAGTTCCCCAGCCAACCAGAAACTCTCTGGAGCAAGAAAACAATGGACAGCTATGATATTTCCTATCACAAGGGAAGGGGCATGCTCTAAGTAAAAGCGATGTGGTGGGAGTACTGGCTTGTACAAGACAGGTGGTCCAGTGGGGAAAGGTTGGCATATGTTAGGGGAGGCAGCCATGGGGAATCGTGGAGCTGAAACAGCATCTCTGATGGCCTGGCCTCTTTTCAAGCCCCAGCAATTGCCTGTCGTATGTGGCTTGTGTCAGGTACCAGTTTTCCAGAATGAAATGCACCATTAGCAGGTAAAGACAATTCATTAGGTGCAACATAGCAGAACTGTAATTAATTATTAGATATTATTTCTCACAAAATGCATCTCCAAGATCACATTGCATTAGCCACAATATTGGACTGATGGAGCATAAACAAGGGTAATGATAAACACCAGTGAATGGAGTTGGGAAGAGATGGTTATTAGGGTACCGGTGTGTTTCATGTGGGGTTTGTTTAATAGTCTCATTAATGATGTGGAAAAGGAAGTGAATAACCATTTAATTAAGTTTGTATTTGATACTAAATTAGAAGTTGCTGCAGACACCTCCGAGGGCAGAGAAATAAATCAAAAGGAGCTAGAAGCATGTGCGGTAAAGGAGAAAATGAGATCTGGTATGAAGGAAAAAAGCAAGCTAATCTCTTTGGGAGCCGGTAATCTAAAATGTAGCTATGGGTGGAGAAATTCTGGAGAAAGCAGTGTTGAAAGAGATGTAGGAGTGTTAATGGACTATATATTCCATCACAGCTCGGGTATATGTTTACAGAAGCAACACGTCAAGGAGCAGGAAGGTAATAGCCTTTCATTGTAGGGCTCTAGTGAGAACCCATCTATAATGCTGCACTCTGTTTTGGGCATCCTGTTATCAGAGAGATATAGACAAATTGGAATGAGTTCAGAAAAGAGCAATAAAAATGATCCCATATCCCTGGAGATAATGACTTATGAAGAAAGATCAGAAGAAATACATGTTGAAGGCCTTGTCTGAAAGATGGCTGAAGCAGGGCAGGAAAACAGCCTGCAAATATGTGACAGCAAACAGGAAGGAGGATAATTTATCATAGTAACTATTAGTAATAGGATGAAATAATAAGTAACAACAATAAATTTTAAAAGGGCAACTTCAGGTTGAATGTAGGGAGAAATTTCTGACAGTGGAATTTGAGTTAGTTTGCAGAGAAGTTTCCCAGGGGTAAAAGTAAAAGCTGCATTCAAGTCATTTAAAATCAAATTGGACAACTCACTAGAAAATGCACCCTGCTATAGGGAACAATCTTCCACTGCCTGGGGAATAAGCTGGATGACTTAATAGGACATTTCACACTCAAGTCTTTATGACTGTGGTATTTTTAATATGCATGGTCAACTATTTCAGGAAACTATACATTTCTTCTGCTGTCAGGCCTGATAATACAAACACTTGCATGCAAACATAACTTTTAAGAAGGCAAGTAGCTCTGCTGACAGCACTGCACTGCTGATGTGCAAAAACACAAGCCTGAGCTCTTCAAGTTTTTGCAGGATCAGAGTCTTAGATCTTGCAATTGTCAATATTAGGATGGTTTATATAGGTAACCACATCGTTTAAGGGTAGGTGAAGAAGTGTGCAGAAAAAAAGATGGGGGTCGGAAGCTCCAGTGAGGATGTATTATTATTGTTATTAATAGTGTTATTGCTATTACTACTTATAAATGACTGGTACCGTGGAGTGCAACTCAGTTGCTTAACCGTTCACCTTTCCCATCTCCTGGTTTCTCCTCTGTGCAGTGTTCATTAGACACTGTAAGACTGCTTTCTCTACTCTGTTTTTTAATGTTTGATGTTTTTAATATATCCTAAAATGTCTGTTGAATGAGAAAAAGGACAAGCTGAAGTAAAAAAAGTAAAAATCTGACTCTCCTTCAGATGAAGAAGAGATGGCAAAGGCTGTGGATTTAAATGGATATGAGGGTAATTCTGTATTTTACCACAATTATAATAACATAATATTGAACTAGATTCACCATTCATTATCAGCAGAGACAAGCTCACAGGCATTCAGATGGATATGCTCCCTAAAACACCATGGTTTTTACATGTGGTTTTTTTATCTTCTTGTTTTCTTCTCTTCCCTTTCCCTTCCCCTCCCCGGTGGACTGTGTGTGGGGCTGGCAGCCTGGTGGTGCCGCAGTCCAACGCCCGAGCCTCGGGACTCTCCAGCAAGGGGTCGAGCAGCAGCAGCTCCAGTGAATCCGAGACCAGCTCCGAGTCTGACTCAGAGAGCGAAAGCAGCTCCAGCGAGACTGACGGCAGCAAGCCCTCGCATTACTCCAGCCCAGAGGTAAGGGCTTTCTGCTCTTTGTGATTTAGAGCGGCAGTCCCTTATTACACCCACTCAGAACTTTTTCTCCAGCCAAGCCAGCACAAGGAAGCTGCAGGGAGATGCATAAAAAATGTGGAAGAGAGAGGCCCAGGGATCCTCTTCCTGGCATGCTGTGAAATGCAAGTGGCAGGGGATCCTGAGGCAGGTTAAAGCATTTGAAACAAAAATGAAGAAAGAAATAACCCTGAGATGTTTTCCTCAAATAGGAGATGAGTGGGGCGCCTTGGAAGGCTCACAGCTTGCTTTAAGTTTTATGCACCTTGGCCTTCATAGCAATGTGCATGAGTCCTGATGTGGGCTTCCAGCACTGCAAGGGAACTAGAGGCTTCTCGACGCAGGGAAGCTTCTATAAAAACAGTTTGAGGGTGGATTTTTAAAGCAAAAGAGTTGTTTTTCACTCACGCACTTCCCTTGCCTCAGTCTCTAAGTGAATTATTTGCTGTTACTGCTGCCTTTGTGTGATTTGTTTTAATCCACCTCCAAAATGAACTAAACTGAATTACTAATGGTGCAAAATGTTAAGGCTGAAGTTGTCATCTGGAAAGCTAGTACTGAAGAATTCCACATGCAGACAAGCCCTAGCCAAATTAGAATTAAGCTGCCAGTGCTATGTCACCTTCCGCTTTCAACTCTGCAGAGTGCTCCATAAACAGGACAAGACTGATTTCTCTGCTCTGCACTTCTACCAGGACTGACATTTTAACGTGTTTTGGTCAATACATACCTTTAGTATAAAACCATGAGCTCTGCAGCCACATCACACACATTAATATATGTAAAAATATTCAAAAATCTAGTGGCGAGATTGTAAATACACATGAAATACAGTCACTGTATTATCCTACTCCACATAAAGCATCCATTCACCAGATTTCTCTCCCAAAAACTATGTCTCACGTGTTCTCTCACACTGAAAAATTATACTAAAACCAGGACACCAGCAAGCTTGGTTATTTGGGACCATGTTTCCTATCGGGTAAAATGCAGTACTCACAGAAACACCCATAATATATTTCTCTCAGGCTCTGTCACTTTTGTTCCTTATTTAACAGTTATCTCCCTTTCTGTCTTTCCTTTGCAGTACTTTCAGATCCATTTCCAGTTAATATTCCTCTCACTTTATCCCTTTACTTAGTCTTTCTCTCTGGCCCTCTTTCCTTTCTTCCCTATTCTCTCTCTTCCCTGTTGCCCTCCCTGCACTACCCCATGTCTCATTTCCCGTTCTGAGCTCTCTCATCCGACCCATGAAGACCTTGGTCCCTTTCTGCTCAGTTCACTGCTGGAATTAGTGCAGAGATCTCGCGCTCCCTCTCTCCTCTCCCTGCGGGATCTCAGGAGGTGAAAGAAAAGGGACAAAGAGAAGAAAGAGAAGGAAGCATTGCAGAGGGGGAAGGAAAGAGGAGATAAAAGGAGAAGCAGCATAGTACCCAGGAAGGGAGGAGTTTTGGCTAGTGAGGCAGATACACGTGCTGCTTGGACCTGAGAGCAGCAATTCCCCAGGGAGTGTGGGAAATTAATTAACTGAGGCAGGTCGTGGAATTCATAAAGTCAAGCAGGGTACTGAAAGTCACGGAAATGCAGAGGAAGCGACTCCTCTTAAGCATTAGATACATATACTCTCGAGATCTGTGGCACTACTTTTGTACAGAGGCTGAGTTATCAGTGATCATTGTCACGAAACAGCTGCACTTCTCCAACAGATTGCTTGTCTCTTTGCATTATATTTGTGTGGTTTGCCTTCTAGGACATGCTGTATGAAACATGGTTATACAAAAATGTAAATGACTCAAAAAAATGTGATGGCTGTAGTGGTTTTCATAGGTCATGCCTTGATTGGTTGTGGAAGACTCCATGCATGGATAGGGTTAGAGTGTCCCAGAGGAGTAGGATACCTGTGTTTTCCCCAAGGGCCAGTGTTTTCCCAGGTCCATCGTATGACTGATGGCGCCAATGCAAAATATGCTTATGTTCCAGTCTCTGGCTGTAAGTCCTGTCTGCTTTGCATTAATTCTTTAACTTACATTTATGCACCCAGTGAAGCCATCTTTCTGAAGTACATGCCATGTTCTTATCCAATAAATGAAGAGAGACAGATCATTGGAAGCTCTTTAAAGGGAGGTCCTGTCCACTCAAATTTAAGTTGTGGACTCAACTCCAGTCCTTAGTCTTAAAATGAATTTCATCTGTTGGATAAGACAGAAAAAGCAAATATATCTTTGCTTTTGCTTTAGCATAATCTGTTAAATTCAGGTGCAATGACTTTGATTACTCCAGCACAATGCCGGGCAGGAAATCCATGTTTCGACCTTGGGAGGAACTTAATCTGCAAATTATGAGGCCTTGAATTTTTTTTTTCCATAATCTGAAATATTATATGCCTATACTCAAAGACTTTTATTTCTAGAACAGTGTGTTCTACATTTGAGGCTATATAGGAATTCAATTACTGTTTCATTTCTTCTGTATTTTTTCCTCATCTCATTCTGAGATCTTTGAGTTATTCTCAGGTGTCTAAATGCGGTTACCCAGAGTGTAAAAGCAGCTCATTGTAAAGCATACATATAAAATAGATTAGATGAATTGCACCCTAAAAGTGTCTGTTTCTTTCCATTGAGTATTTAGAGCCTGTAGTGACTAGCTCAGCTGTCTACACTTTATGTCTGCAGTAAACTAAGAATAATGGTTGAGCTAGAACAGGAGACAACATTCAGACTGGTTTCAGTGATGTGGACAAATTAAGGTGCCTCAGACATTAATGTGAGTAGTTACAGTTTTGTGGACTGCCAAACCTGAAATTATGAACAAGGGGCTGAGGCTTCTATCTCCTGTTTCTTTGCTGAAGTCATGAATTCTTTGCATGACCTTAATTAACATCATAAATGGGAACTCTGGAAAATAATGATGTCTTGTCCTTGCAGTTACTTCAGATGGTAAAAAAAAACCACCTTGGGTGTCAAGTCCATAGAAAGAGCTATATTTCAAAAGCTAAGAATTTGGTTTGTTTGTTCTTTATTCCATTGAGTTATCCTGCAGACCTTTAATAAGGGTGAATCTGGTTAGACAACCAGGGATTCCCACTGTACAGGGACTGGAGGGGACAACAGGCAGGAAGAAAGCGGAAAATCCATTGCATGGGACAAAGTGTCAGGTGCTGGGCAACAGTAACCAGGCCAGAAGAGAGAAGTGTCCTGTTCTGGGCCCTGCCAGCCCCATGCACCAGATGCAATGTCCTTTTCAGCCTCTGCTCTTGTGACTAGTCCACAACCATTAAAGTTTTTTCCTCTTTTTCAAGGATTCACATATGCTTTTTGTCCATGCTTGTTCCATCATCACAGTATATCCTCTCATCTCAAGTCCTCATATTGTGACTGACTAGGTCAAAGCTGAAGTGATTTGTAGGGTTATGCTCTCATCCACCCTTGTCTGTCAGCAGCAGCTCCTGTATCAAGTTCTTCAAGTGCCTGGACATCAGCACCACTGTCTGAGGAGCCACTGCCTGTGAATCTCTGCTGTTCCCTCAGGTGCTCAGAGGCATTGGCTCTCTTCTCTTTAGCTCGGAAAATAGGAAGAATGTGTGTATCTAACAGATGAGCTAACTCCTGAGCATGCTCCTGTCACCTCACCAGCCTTTCTTCACTGATAGATTTCATTAGAGAGGCAGAGGAAGAAGAGTTGTAGTTTCATGGTTGCGGGGTAGGAGGGCTATGTTTTCTGTATGAGTCTTGTTTTCCAAAAAGTTTTTGCCTCCCATCTTAAGTATAGCCCTGATTTGATTTTCTGACTGGTACACTCAGAAGATTTTTTACCTCAGATGGATTTTTTACAACTAGACCAACTGTAGACATTACCTTTGCAGATAGAATTCATGGGCTTTAGCTGTCCTGTGGACTGTTTTTGATAATGACTACAAACTAAACTCTCCCTTCTCTCTGGAAAACCCTTTGTGGCAGGAACCACTTCTTACTTTGTGTGTGTGCTGTGCCTACAACATGAGAATCCCCAGTTCTAATTTGATAAAGCACTAGCAGCAGTGCTAATAGTAGCAATAAAATAGTTGTAGTAATAATAATCATCATCATCTCCATCATCATCATCATCTATACCTTCAAATACAATGAAAAGGCACCACATTTGTATGGGGATTGCCCTGAATGAAATGTTTGATAGCAGGGCAGCACAAGCAAGTTATCATAAGGGTAAATTAGTATGTGGATTTACAATAGGTGGAGAATACTGCAGGGATGGCAGATAGCTCAGTCCTGCCCCACAGTGGGCTGAGTACCTGCACATGTTATGGGCAATGTGATCTCTCAATGCAAGTGGTGTCATGCTTCAAGTTCACCATGGTATTAGCTACACCTTAAGTCCCTATGTAATAACAAGTGTAGAATGTAGATTTGACACTTAAATTGTTTAACAGTCCTTTACCCCAGAAAGTGTTTCTAGATAATGTTTTGACAAAGGTTTCTTTTGGATGCATGCCACTCGTGCCTCTGGTTGCACTTGTAGCCTTGAAGAGATCTGAGATATATCTGAGTGGGAGTCATCTCACCTAAATTTTGACACTTCTGCTGTAGATACCTACATCTGCTCATCACCTCAGCCTCCCATTTACAGGGGGTGGAGAGGAATAGACATTTTTAGGGCCCACCTCATCTGGCCTATTTCACATGTCTATTTCAAGAGGGAATTTTTCACACCCATGGTGTGAGTAGTCCATGGACTGGAGAAGAAACTCGTTGACTTGCTCAGATGTAGGTGTCTATGTTGTACAGATGAATCCACCCACAACTTTTAAGGAAGCGTATCACATCCTTCTGTTTCTTGATGAAGCCTGGCACATGTGTATGTCTGTGGTGCATCGGTCCCTGAAACTATCTTGGTCTTGTAAAATTTTCTGGGTTGGGTTTTCATGACAAATCCATATTTCATTGCAAGTCATCTTCATCACATACTGCTATTCCTAGTAGTGCTGCCTATCTGAGCACCACCAGCAATTAAAAAACACTCTGTTCTCTACAAGGCCTTGAGGGCAGCATACTTCTATGACACAAAAACCAAGGGACAGAGACCATTCTGCTATCTGATCACTCTGGATAGATATTCATATGTATTTCCATCCTTACATGGTACTGAAAATTTCCCACTTTGACCAAACCAACTTTTCTTCCATAGAATGGTATGTGACGTGGTCAGGGGAGCGATGTGTAGTGGAGGATTAGATGTTTTCTTTCTCTCCCACAGATAATTGCAGTTAGGCATGTAAAGTAGACTGGCAAAAACTTTCAAGCTAATTTTCCTGATCCCATTTTTTGCTAGGCCTGCTCTTTATTTTTGGCTGTCATGATTGTGTTCTCTCACGAGGTACCTTTTTTTAAAGTTATTTCAAAGTACAGTACTTTTCAGTTAGAGCAATCAATTGAATAAATTACTTCCAAAAGTGAATTGGCATCACTCCTGTACAACTACAATCTCAAATATTCCAAAACTGTATCAGGGCCCAAAAATAGTGAGAAAAGTTTTAAAATTCTGATTTTTAAAATTCAGATTCTTACAATTTACCTGATGGACTGCAGACTTTTTACTTTTAGCAGATGCTTCTTAAAGGGTGCTTTTTTTAGCAGCAACAATGATTTGAATTTTTATTTAAATAAGTCCATGATTCTGAGAACTGAGGCTTTCAGAAAAAATAGCGAGTGTCCTGAACCTCTTGAAAAAATTAGTAAAGCTGGCAACGTTGCTGATCCTTTTTACTGTATTTCATAGTGGGCTTATAGGTTGGTGGAACTGTAGTTATTCTGCCTAAATACCAGACTTACCACTCTAGTAAAGTACCACGTTGCCAAGTTATGACACTGTAGCAGTTAATCACTGTTTTCTGCTGGTTTACTGTGATCCCTTGAAATCTATATTTTGTGAATCATTGTTTTCAAGAATTACAAGGTACATAAAGAGACAGAATGGGATGTAACAGAAAAGCTGGAAGTTTTTTTTAACTTTCAAGCTGCCCTCACTCTGACCTATACTTATGGGCAGAGGTATAATTTTTTTTTCCCATGTGCTTCTGAGGTATGTCCTTTTCTTAAATCCACATGAACAGTGGAAAGACTTCCATGTATAGTGAACCTTTTATTATATATCTAGTAAATTCAGTATGTGCACAATGAATGGTACCAAACAAATCTATCTGTATTTTCAGTAGCAATCAAAATAATGTTTATTTTAGATAAAGAGTTAAGATATTTCTCATCCAAGATAAATATTGCCCATCCGTTTTCAAGATTTACAGCTCAGGAAAGAAATTAATCATGTAAGATATTAGGGAGTATGCTTAATAAAAATAAACTTAAGGCAATCCAGCAAACTTCCTATAGGTATTGGCTAGCTTGATAATGAGTAAATTAGACACTTTTGCAAGAAGGAATAATTGTATCAGATGAATTCTGATGTCTAAAATTTTGCTTATTTTAGAAGCCTTTGCTCCATGTAGAGTGACTGCAACCCTCAGTTGCGTGATTCTGGAGATGCCCTTGACTATACAGGAAGCTGTGTTGTCCTCAGCCACCTACTTTAAATAAGGAGTTAAGTCAAAGACTGTTAAGTTGGAGACTCTGGATATTGTCTCTTGAGCAAACTTTCTTCCAGAGCATTGATGGTTTTCATGTCAGGCTCATGACACAGTTTTTGTTTATTCATGTGGAATAGCCTAGTGGATCAAATTTTGGTTCCAGTTAAGGAAATTAGGAGACGCTTCACATTGGCTTCTGTGGGGTTAGGATATGGCTAGCCATCATTTATTTCTTTTGGGTTTTTTTTCCTTTTCTCTTCATTTTAATACATTAAAATTACTGATTGGAAGAAGCACTAGAAAACACTTGCACATTGTTCTGAAATAACATTGTCTGAACTGTGGTTACATTTGAAATCATAATTATCCCACTTCTTTACTGTCCAAACACCATTATGTTTTAGATGCTCTCTTATAACTTGATCGTGTTGTGACAGGAACAAAGAGAAAAACTAACAGCTGCACAATACTCACAAAATGAGCACTTGACAAAACCACCACGCAACAAATGTTTGTGGGATCTCACAGGTTTATAACGTCAGTACCAGACATTTTACATTAATGACCTGGTTAGCCTTCCGGTTCCCCGCTACATGCCTCTTTTTATGCTTTTTAAAGACTTTTCATATTTATTGTAATGGCACAGGACACAAAATACATATCCCTGGCTTTCCAACTAGCTATCCTCCCTTAGCCTCAGCTGTGCCCTTGCCTTGTTTTCCTCCCTTCCTATTGCCATTTTATTTTCTTCTGTTTGGAAATTCAGGATAATTTCCCAGCAAAGTCAATGCCAGGAGTGCTGCATGAATCATCCTTAGAAATTATGAGTCATGGAAGCTGTCCTCCTTCCCAACCTCATTCTGAAACAAAAAATATCCCCACTTGCACGGCATGCCCCACATCTCCTCTCCCACTGCACAGGACCAGGGCCCAGGGGTTGCCATGGTTTGGGGGTGGCTCATTGACCAGAGGACAATCTCAGCAGTTCCAGAAGGGGCCCAGCATTTTGATGTCCCTGAGGGAGCTCCGGGTTGAGGGCAACAAGGTCTTGGCACTAAGCTCATTGCCATCTGTTTCCCTTTCAGCCTGAGCCGCCCTCATCCAACAAGTGGCAGCTGGACAAGTGGCTGAATAAAGTCACCCCGCACAAAGCACCCATCCTGACCCACCACGATGGCCCAGCACTGGAGGCCCATCCCTACTATGGCCGTGTGAAAGCAGAACGGCAGGAAAGTGAGAAGACCCCAGCTGCCGTCCCGGTTGAGCACAGCAGTGGGGAGGGTCGGACCACCCCCACCAACCCTGCTGCCACAGGGGACGGACCACGGCCCAGGACCGCCAACAAAGCACCAAAAACGCCAAAGGGCCCCCCCCGCCGCTGACAGTGGGCCACCAAGGAAAGCGGCAGGGAAGAAGGCACCACGGCGGGCCGAAAGGACCTCTACTGGGGACGGCCCCCACTGCCACGGGGTGGAGGACCCCCCCACGAGCCATAGCTTTCCAGAAAGCACTGCTGGTGAGGCACCAAGGGTCCGGCCCAGCGGCGGCAGCAGCAGCAGCAGCGGCAGCGGCTCTAGAGCAGGGCACCGCCGGGAGC